CTTAACACTAAGCTCATTTAGCTCTTAAAGTGACCTTAATTTCCCAATTCCAGATGCACTAGGCAAGCTATGTGAGGGCAAGCATAAAAATCTAAAAGAATTGCACAACATGTTTGTAAATATTGGAGCTTTAGTGTGAGGTATATAAGTATATAAATATATGAGAATCAGATGGTAAGCATGTAAAGGTCCCATTATATTCACACCTATACTTCAGCTTTTACATTTATGCTACACAAAGTTTTAGATTTTGCAAACAGCCACCCGACAACTTCAGTTTTTGCAAATTGAACACTAACGGTTTCAGAATTTTACAAATTAACCACCAAAAGTTTCAGATTTTGCAAATCGGACACCATAGGTACAAGTATTGAACATCACCAAAAGAGTGTTTTAAATCTCACTTCCAAAACAGCGATATGAGAAAATCCAGCAACCGGACAAGAAAGATCAAATGATGACTTGCACGCATAACCATTCATTCCCATGAGTTTAAATTCAATTTTAGATAATATAAAGATAAGCTCGAAAAGAAACTTAAATTAAATCCATAACCCTGAAAAAGAGTGACATCTAACAGAGGGTCTCAATCCAGAATTAGAAACGACCCTTTTAAAACTTCATCAAAGAATCTCACAAAATTCACAAACCAAAGAACGAATCCGGAAATTTTATTTAAATGAATTGTAGAGCAGGATTAGCATGATTCCTCAACAGGAAAGGTATCATAGCATTGAAAATCCATCAACAAGTAATCACAAATTTAATTTGCATTTCACGTGACTTTGGTTTAAGTTCAATCTTTAAAAACCAAGTAAGCCCTTAAGCAAGATAAAGCGAATGTGCACGCATCCTGATTACTTCAACATCAAGAGACTAAGGCCTTAATCCCATAAGAAAAGTGTCCTTGAGGATTTCAGAAAATGCAAATCTCAGAAGAATTTTATCAAAACCCATGTGTCAAATATATAGGTATATAAGAATTGATTGGCATGTATATAAATGATTAAAGTTCAAATGAAAGAAGTGTAAAAGCACAAGAATTAAGTAACATGTATCAAGAGTTCCCCGAAACAACCTAGCAAGACTTCCAAATTTCAAGTAGCAACTTTCAAATCTTCACATAAGAGAGGGTATCGCACTTCTCATATTTTTGCAAGTAAGTTCATAGTTATGTAAAGAATAAGAAGAAGGGCTCCCATGATATGAAGTTTGTCATAATCAAACTACCAAAGAAGAGGAAAATTATAAGGAGCTTACCTCAACTAACCACTAAATCAGAAATTATGAAAGCAAGAAAACCCAAAACGAAAGTTCCAGAAAGGAAGTAAGCTCCACCGAAAATTCCATCCCTAAAAGTTTCTCACAGCACTTCCAAGAAGGCCTCAAGAACACAGGAAATGAACAGATCAAAGAAAATCCAACACGGAGATGAGAGGAAATTTTGGCAGCACCTCCACTCTCTTCAAAATTTTCGGCCAGCCCTAAAGACCTCCCCAAGATAGGAGAAAGAGGAGTAGCCACCCACCAACCCTAATGGTGGCCAAATCAGGCAAAGGGAGAAGAGAAATGCATTTAGGGAGGAGGAAATGCAGTCTAGGGCAGAGGAAGAGTCGGCCAGGTGGAGTTTCACTATTGGGAAGCTGCTCGGTCGAGCAGAGGTCGAGGAGGCGAGCCGCGCGCACGAATGGCAGCAGAATGCCACGTGTGAGGGAAGAGTGTCGCATGTAACCGAGGAGATGCGGGAGAGGAGGCGGGCTTGGCGGCCATGGCCTCGATCGATCGGCTCGGGTGCGGTCGAACACGGGGGTAACTGAGCACCTGACCGAGCCGCAATGATCGAATGGAGAGTTTAAGCTTGCGAGGAAAGGGAAATAGAGATTAGGGTTATAATATTAAAATTAATATTATAATCAATGATATAAATATAAAAAAATTTAATATTTTCAAAATAAAATTTGATTTATGCATTTTCATTTGTGCGTCAGGTTGTAGAAAATTGAATGTTCTTTTCAAGTAATTTTGATGTTCCGAACGCGCTGGTGCGGTCCGTTTCACCGTCAGAGATCGTTTTGACGAATTCATCGATTTGCGTGTAATTTTCTCATGTGCGGAATTATGGCAATATGAGTGTCTTTCCTGGCTAAAATTAGTGTCCTGGACGTGTTGTCGCAATCCATTTCGTCGTCAGAGGTTGTTCGGAGAAGTTTGCATTTTCACCCATCTTTTAGACTCAATTTAAGTTCGATCTTGTGCAATTTAGTGAATTTTGTGCATTTGGTGTACATGTGTGATGATAAAGTCCTGAAGTGGTTTTCCTAGGGCTTGAGATCCTATTAGGAACTTCTCCCTGAGTCTCAACCTGATAGTCATTTACCACTCGACCATAGGACGATGATTTTCAGATCATCAATGCGAGACATCACAAGAGAAATAGGAAGTGACTGAAATTTCTAAAGGGGATGAATTCCAATACCAGTTTTCTAAGATAGTCAAAGGAACCCTTAGAGCTATATCCTAGGATTCTAAGGAGAAGAGTAATGACCTCAAAATGAGGTCAACAACCGCCTCCTCTGAATATATCTGGAATGAGCTCATCCTGTTGCATCTCATTCGTTCAAATGGGTCCATCCGTGAGCTTCTTCGTTGGGGCCTTCCCCTGTCACCGTGCGTGGCCTCCAACAACGACAAATTTCTTTAGTTTCCCGACCTTGATGAGTTCCTCTACCAAATTCTTTAGATGGCGACACCCCTTACCGTGCCCATTATCCTGGAGGTAGGTGCAATATTTGTTCGGACTGTGAAAGGCCGGTGCGTTTTTCAAAGGAGGGGCCTTCTTGAAATAGTCCTTGTTTTGAATAGCCTAGGCTAGCTCAACATCGACACATACAAGGGTGTCAAATCCCGCATCTCCCAGTACACGTGCGGTCGTTCATAGTACTGAGCCAACCGGTGGTCAGAATGTTGCCTCCGACCTCTATTTCCTCGGTTATCCTAGAATCGAGGGTTATTGCCCTGTCGACTGCATGGGCTCTATCACTCTCTTGCCTTTTCTCGTCGTCTCTATCCTTTCGCTTCTACTATCGGCAGTCGGATGTTCCCAATTTAATCTCCGAAGTGTCTATAAGATCTTCTGCGCGACGTCGTCGTTGGCTAGCTCCAAGCCCTCGACGAATGACCTTGGCTTGAGCAGGTTCAGTTCGTACCTGAATTGACTGTTGTGGATTTTCTGCTTTAGGGCGGTCCGGGCGATGAGAGGTTTCAGGTCTTTTATTTACAACATTTTCTTTTAGAAGTGATGTAATCTCGCAGACTTCCATTCTCCCCTGCTTGATCTGGAGCAAAGTCTCGGTATCCTTCACCGACTTTTGTACAATGGCGAAGTGCGCCAAAAAGAGCCTCATGAATTCATAGAAACAAATGAATGGGACGTGTTAGTGAGACATCAAAATATTAACAAAAAATCTGGATAAAAGAAAGATGGAGGGACATGTTCGAGACAAAATAGTAGGCTATTTCACTTAAAATTAAATAGGTTCTCTCTTCTTTTTAACTAAATAAAATAGTATTATAAAGTAATGTATTCAACTAGCTCCTTCTCTAGTGATTGTGATGGAAGTTGGGGGATGACAATACTCAAATAATGACGATTGAGTGATGACAATTAAATGACGGCGATCATATAATTGTGGTTGGACGATAATGTTTGGATAATGATAGTCAAATAATATTAATTAGGTGACGGTGGTAAACTAATTGTGATTGTTTGTGATAGTCATCAATATTTGACATTGAGCAAAGCTCTAGAGTTTTTAGGATTTTAAGATTTCTCTACTTACAAACCTCTCCTTTTTATGCAGAAATGTTGTTATGTTTATAATTTTTGAGAATGTAATTTTAATTATTTTAGCTACACTTTAAAACATTTAACGAAAACCTTAATTATTTTTATTATATCTTATTTAACATCCAAGTGATATAATAACCTTAAAATTGAGTGACCGTGAGCTAATTAGATTTATCTTATCGAGAAGCTCAATTTGATTATAATCATATGAAATTCTGATATTGTTTGATCTTTCAATTAATCTTTTGAAATTTCTAATCATATTCAAATGTTAGATCGACCACCTTTGGTATGAGAAACAAACCAAAATGTTCCCCGGACTTTTTACAAAGGATTAAAATAGTCACAGAATATATATAAAATCAATTTAGTCCCTCTATTATTTAAATATATACCGAATGGTTCCCTAATATGATTATTTTAGTTCATATTTAATGAGTTTGGAGAGTATTTTGGTTCATATTTGAATAATCGAGGTTTTTTACATAATTGCGATTAGTTTGATCCTTTGCAAACGGTTGGATGACCATTTTGTTTCTCTTCTCCTTTTAAGCATTAATGTGTTCGCCTTATCAAGTTACTTGACTTGACTATAAATTTATTAAAATTAAAGGCTAAATAATTTTGATTTTAATTTTGAAGTTTGCAATTCAAAAATTGCATCAATATATGTGTTTTGATTGGAAGGATTGGTTTATGACATAAATATTTATCCTTGTTGCTTTGGCCAGCTTTGTGTCTATTTTTTTTTCCGACTATTTAGACATTGTGATGCCATCCTTGCTAAGTTGTAATGTAATTGAAGTAGGCAATCTTCTGACTGTGCACATTATTTTCCGACATTTCTGGTTTTGTCTACCCTTCTCTCTTATGTTTGTACTGAACACCTATTGCCTTGCTAAATAATACTATCCTCTGTATTAGTATCTGTGTATCGTTATCGAACAATGTGATTTTACAAGTGAATGTTTTGATATAGCTGAGCTCTTTTCGAGTCATTCGAGCAATCATTTTCACTTGAACTTCTTCCTACTCTGATTAATATTGTTTCAACAGCTTCATTTGTGTTTTGAAGCCAATATTATGCAATAAATTGAGCCAAACATATTATTTTTGTTGAAACTTCCGACGCAAATTTTCTTATGAAATACAGGTTTATTCGCCACGAGGCGACACTGTACACACATCAAAGGGAAAATCTGGGGACAAATTTGAGTTTAAAGCTCCTAGCAATGGAATGTACAAGTTTTGTTTTCACAATCCATCAAAAATTCCGGAGTCCATATCTTTCAACATCCATGTTGGCCATATTCCTAGCGAGCAACATCTTGCCAAAAATGGTTTGTATATTTTGAGGGGCTATAAATATGGAAATGATAAATCTTAATATAATGTTCTCATACTTAGGGATAGTAACATTAGCCATGATCATTGGTCCCATGATGACCATTTGATTATGGATTTATGAATATTCATTTTCTATTTAAATTATTTTAGTGATAACCTTTTGTGGCATTTACTAAATAGCACACAATTCTTGTATATTTACATATATCTCACCTAAACTTTAATATTTACAAACATAGCACTCAAATTCTTAATATCACATAAAAATAGCACTATTATCACTTTTTAAAAGTGAAATACATTTTGTTATGCATAAGTTTAAAGCATCAAAATGATATATATATATAAATATGAAGTTTAGTTGTGAGATATGTAAATAGATAAGAATCGTGTGCTACATATGTAAATTTATCTAACCTTTTTTGTGATGTAGAACACCTTGATCCCGTGAATGTAAAAATTGCCGAGCTTAGAGAATCATTGGAGTCTGTTACCTTGGAACAACGGTACTTGAAAGCACGTGAAGCTCGCCATCGGCTCAGTAAGCAACATTCATCAAGTTACTATAAATTAGAATGATTGAGCCTAATAATAAAAAGAGTTCTCATGCTTGATGGTGAAAAAATTTTAGGGGTCTTTTTTTGGTGATTTATAGATTGAACATTCAATATTATCTTTAAAAGGGTTTTGGGATTTCACCAATAAAGAATTTAAATCATCAATTTAAAAAAGAATCACATTCCTTTATTTTAAATTATAATCTATATCATATATTTTTTTAGTTGTGGTACAAATAAGTCAATTTTTTAGCCAATTTCTTTCTTAAACTGCAAGATAATTTCTGATTTTATCCATCTTATTTATATTTTCATCTAATTGCTTTAGAAATTACAAATTCTTCTGATAGAATTTTTAATATTATTAAAATAAGATGAATACTACATATGCATGTATTTGTATACATACATAGGTGTTTTTCATTTGATACCTATTTTATGTATGTTAAGATTCCTACAAGCCTTAATATTTTTTAAAAAAATTAACATGCTTAATCAAAATAATTAATTCAATAAATCTCAAGTAAAATTTGCCCGAAAATCTAAACATTTTTTTAAAATTAATTATTGAAATATTTTTCTTATGTGCAAATACATAATAGTGTAAAATTAAAAAACTTAACTGAACACACCAATTTAATAAATATAACAATAAATCTAGTTTGAGATATTATTAAGAAGGGCATTTACATGCATAGAACCCAATTCTTATGTTTTTACATATCTAACCCCTAAAATTTACTTTTTACATTTATACCGCCTAAATATTTCATATCACATAAAAAATATCACTATTTTAACTTTAAAAAATTGAAATACACATTTTAATGCGTGGGTAAGATGGCATATATGTAAAGACTGAAGTTTAGGTGTTAGATATGTAAATACATAGGCCTATGTATGTAAATCTTCCTTTTAAATATTCTGATATGATCTTTAACTATTGTGCACTTATTAGATGTGCATTCTTAGCATTTATATCTGGATGAAGTTTAGTCAACACTTCTAAAAATTATATTATCTCAAATGTAATTTCTTCAATTTCATACACAAAAGAAGTAAGAACAAATTTTTAATTTTATTGCAAATATATAATTATTATTGTTGAATTTGAAAATGTTCAGGAAGCACACCCAAGGAATAGAGCGTCACAGAGAGAGAACAAAAAGAGAGACAGTAATGAACAGTAAAGCTAGTAACCTCTATTCGAAAATTGACCCTTTATTTATAGAAATAAGGTATGGGTTTTAGAATTACAATTATGCCCTATAATCATTAGTCTTTGATGGGGTCTTTTTAGTATATTACATATGTCAGATATATTGAATGGTAAGTGGTTTATCTGATCGGTGTGGCTCCCAGAGATCGGTGAGTGCGCCACTGATTGTTTTCCCTCGATCCTCGTCTGCTTTAAGTCGATCGTCACTCCTCGGTTCGATTGGTCAGCCTTAGGCCGATCGTCAGGCTTTTTAGTGGCTCGATCCTTAGGCTTGACTTCAAGAGACTCTTCTTGCTATAGAGTTGTCGACCGGTTGACAGATTCCTTCATTCATTCATCATTTGACTTGGCCGTTGGATTACCTCAAAATTCGTATCTACATTATTTTTCGTCTACATATTTAGTTTCCGGTTCCTTTACTTTTTGAAAGTCGTGTTGCAAACATGAGAATCTTTTCGTGATACAAAAATAAAAAGTATGAATCCGACGATATAATTGCATAAATGACTTCCTTAAATTTTTGTGCATAAGGTATTATAAATAGGCCATGAGAGAGTAGCGGCTGCGCATGATCCTCTCTTATCCCTTCCCCTTGCACGGTTTTTTTCCTTCTTCAAGATGTCACGATGTCTGGTGAAAGTGCCTCCAGTGCTGATAGGGACGCACTTCTCATGGCCCTTGTCGGCATGCGAGCCAAGGGCCTAAAGGTTGAAGCGAAGAGAAGGCTGGCAGAGGAAAACACATGTGGGTGAAACAAGCAAGAAGGAGTATTGAAGAAATTCAAAGTCAATGATCAGGAGAAACAAAGAGAGTCCTCAGGCTCTCTTAAAGGTTCGCAGCAGGAGAGACTTCATGAGCAAACCGTGGCACGACCGGTTGACCCTCCGGCGGGGCCTATGGTTACGGTCAATGATCCTGCTGATACGGGGAAGGTGCTTGCTCAGCCTGTCTCTGAGCTATCAAACCCTTAGGTTGTTGTGGTCAAACAAGCGGCTAAAGGTTATGATGGAGGCGGGTGACCTTTTTGATGAGATAAAGCACTAAAATTTGCTATTGATGTTTGATTTTAAGTCTAAAGATGTGATATGGAGGTTTTGGTAGAATGTTAAAACATTGAGGAGAGAATGGTTACTAGAACACCAAGACTAGTCTGGATTAGGTTAGTTTTAGCTGATTTGAAATATTTCTTTGGAAAAGTGGCTTAATAATGGGTAAGTGGTTAGATTAGGATGTCTACTTATCATCTGGAGTGGATGGGTGGGTTTTGATTGGTTTACAATGGTGTTTAGATTTAGGGAACAAGACAAGATCTTAATATGATCTTTCTTGGTCAAGAGCTGTGAAGAAGTGTTTGGAATGGTTGTTGGTTTGTTGATATTATAAGAAGCTTAGGGACGTGGATGAAGAGGGATGAAGAGTTTAAAAGCAAGCTTTATGCAGGATTAATGAATATCATAAAAGAAAAACAAAGATAAATTCCTAATCTTATCAAAGAAAAGGCAACACTTAAAGTCACCAAGCACTAAGCAACAAGAGAAAAAGTTCTCACTCAAGTATTTCATTCAATTGCCCCAAAACATTACATATCAGCTCTATTTATTGCGATTAAAATGATAAAAAGTTAATAAAAGGAGGAAGAACTTTTGAAGGTTGGTAGGTGGCTATTAATGAAGGGGCTAGCCACCTTCTTCATTTGTTATTTTTTTCCTTTTTATGACCAACCATAAAAGCCTCCAAATTTGAAATTTCAAACATTCTAGAAACTGAAATTGAAATATAAATAATAAAGTACAAATTTAAATATTTCTTCTTCTTATGGGTCTTGTGATGGTTTTTGAATGGGCTCTTAATTGGGCACTTTCTTGGGCTCTTATTTGGGCTCTTGTAAGTGGACCTTTGGCTTCATTTTGATGATGTGCTACATCAACTCCCTCGGGTTCATTTGAACTCTTTTCCATAGAGTTGAAATCTAAGAAGTCTTGTACTAATTTTGGGTTTAGAGTTTCCAAATCAGTGTGGGTCAGCCATGTGTCTTCAATGGGTGGCTTATTCTTCCAATGAACTGCAAAACAATGTTCAACAGTTGGTTCAAGGGGATACCTTCAGCTTCAAGAAAAAAAGAATTTTGCACATGTCGAACTATATCTCTTGCCAAAGAGTTAGTCTAATCAAGTGGATGTTTGCTAACTCCTTCATATAATAGAATATCTTCAAAATTAATAACAGGATGGATTAGTATATCGACAGACAGATCAAGGTGATAAGCATAAATCCAATTTTTCTAAGAATTTTAAAGGGCCACAAGCTCTCAATGTAATTTTTTAAACTTAGTGGTGTGATACCGCTCAGGACGAATGCAAATCAAAACATGGTCTCCTTTAAATACTTGTGTTGATCTATTATGATTTGCCTTAGAAGCATACTGGTCATTACTTGAAATAATTTGTTTTCTTATGCTTTCACGAATGGTTTGAAAATCTTTGGCTAATGAAAATGCAGAATCAGAGAATGCATGAGATGGGAGGTCGACTATATTAATTGGTCGATTGGGATTTTGGTCATAAACAATTTTAAAAGGTGAAGTCTTGGTTTTTTTAGAATTAGTACCTATTATATGCAAATTCTGAGGTATGTAGATGCAAGTCCCAATTTCCTAGACTCTTTTCTACAAGGCATCTTAAAAGGTTTCCTAATGTTCGATTAACTACCTCAGTTTGGTCATCTGTTTGAAGATGAAAGGCAGTTGAGAATTTTAATTTCGTGCCTAATAACTTCCAAAGGGTTTTTCAAAAATATGAAACAAATCGAACATCACGGTCAAACACAATGGTTGAAGGTAGGTCATGCAGATATTCAATTTCCTTAAAGAATAATCTAGCAATGTGGGAAGCATCATTAGTTTTGGAGCATGTTAAAAAACGAGACATCTTTGAGAAGCTATCAATTACAATAAATATCTTGTCATGTCCTCGAGCTTGTGCGGGGTAATCCTATGATAAAATCCATAGAGAGATCTTCCCAAGGTCTATAGGGTATCGGTAATGCAGCATATTGATCAAATTTTTTGTTATTGGCTTTTGCTTGTTTACAAGTCAAACATTGGACGACTAATTTTTTAACATCTTTCTTAATTGAAGGCCAAAAAATTGATTTTCTATTAAACATATGGCTTATCATTTCTAAAGTGTCCAGTTATACCTTCAGAATGCAGCTCAGAGATTAAAAATTCTCTAAGTGAAGTTCCAGGAATACAAAGTTGTTTTCTCTTATATTGATATCCATTGATAACAGAGAATATTCTTTGAAGAGACAAAGGTTTATCAATGTTTTTCATATAAATTTGATTAAAGTCGGGACATATAATATACTCATATTTGATTCGATCAAATCCTGGAATTTTTAGTTTTAGAGAGCGTATAGTTAAAGTTAACCTAGATGGGCCGAAAGGGACTATTACCCGTCCATCCCTCATAAAATTCAAGATAAATTATGATTTTATATTTTTTTCTCTCTTTGTGCAGTATAATTCATATGAATAGATGCGCCTTCTTACGAAATGAAAAAGCGGGGAAAGAGAGGAAAACAAGAGGACTTATATTCCTCAAGGATCTTCACTCTTCATCTTTGTATGATTGGGTTCATAACTGAAGCCATTATCACCATCATCTTCATCCTTCTTTTTTTCTCAAATCTCCTCCGAACCCAATTTCCTAAAAGTATTCATCAATTCTTTTACTGTTTATGTCATTATTTTCATTTTACTTT